GAAGGAGACTCCACCACCTCTCTGGGCAGCCTGTTCCAGTGCTCTGTCACCCTCACAGGGAAAAAGTTTTTCCTTGTGTTAATGTGGAACCTCCTGTGCTCCAGCTTGTACCCATTGCCCCTTGTCCTGTCACTGGCCATCACCAAGAAGAGCCCGGCTCCATCCTCCTGACACTCGCCCTTTACGTATTTATAAACATTAATGAGGTCACCCCTCAGTCTCCTCTTCTCCAAGCTAAAGAGACCCAGCTCCCTCAGCCTTTCATCAGAAGGGAGATGTTCCACCCCCTTAATCATCTCTGTGGCTCTGCGCTGGACTCTTTCAAGCAGCTCCCTGTCCTTCTTGAACTGAGGGGCCCAGAACTGGACACAACATTCCAAATGCCACATAGTGGATCCCTTTTTTGTGATTCAACCAGGCTTTGTAAAAGATAACAAAAAATCCTACCCCAAAATACAAACCCCAAGCAATCAGAAAAGCACCCCTCAAAAAACCCCAAAACAAAAAGCCCCCCCAAACCCCAAGCCTTCCCATACAACAGTTCTCCAAGACTAGAATTTCCAAATCTTTTTTCCTTATTGGTCTCTCTTCTCAGGAAAAGGCATCTTCCTGTGAGGAAAGCTTCCTAAATTTACAAAAGTATTTCCTCCTCCTTCAGAAGGAGATCTCTGGTACCCTTAAGGATTCTGACTGGATGCGAAACATTTGGGGTAGCTAGTTTTAGCACAGAAACCATGTGTAAGTTAACATAGGACTTCTCTGGAGAGACAAGAGTGGCTGAGAGAGGAGTGGGGGGCATATCATAGTGACAAATAGTATGTGAGGAGGATACTTTGGAAACGCAGTTCTGTACAGTGAAACACGGCAAGAAGATATTTGTCGTTTCTTGCCACAATCGTTGAGTAGTAGGTAGCAGGTTTTAAGTTCCATCTCAGGACCTCAGTAGTGTGAACTACAAGCAGTATCTTATGCAAACAGCCTCTTCTGGCTCTTTGCCTTTGAAGGGTGCTTTTTGTCTCTTGCACTTTGGGATCAGGTATGTTCTGCTTAATTTTCCACTAACTTCTCTTTTGGGAACAAATGTCCTGAACAAAATTGTAAAGAGAGAGTTCAAAGATAGCACTGATGGAGCAGTGGATGTAAACATATTATAATTACTGTGGTCTCACAGCTAGCTACAATTTTGATTTTATGCTATCCATTTTGTGCCTCCCTGGCGTGTTCAAAATGGATGGCAGTGTAGAGACACAAACTTAGTTGTAGTTAAATACAGAAGAATAACTTTTTTTTTTTCTGAAGAGATGTGTGGTTTTAAATAACTCATAGAAAGATCATTGGAGAGCTCAAAAAAAGCTTTGAATTGTTTTCCACTCCACCTTTGTTGCCGTCAAATTTATCATATAGGTTCATTAGGACAAGTGTGTAGGTCTGCTTTTCTCAAGAGAATGTTGTCAAATGCAGCTCACTAAAATACCTGTTCCTCACAAGCCAAGTCTGTATGTCTCGTGCATGAGTTACAGACAGATCACTTACTAGTAGCCTGGAATTGTGAGGCTACATACGATCATACAGTAGCTCTTCTTGCTCTTAAGGCCAGTGAAAATTTGTGTTATGCTCCAGTGAGAGAGTTCTGTACCTGGAGATCAAAAGGAAGTTAACAGTGTGTGGGAAACATACTCTAGTCTGTCTTTTCAGATACCTGAACTTAAGAGTTGTTATTCAGAATTTTCCTTATTGCACTTAAAACTTTTTTTTTTAAATTTTATCTGTGCTTTGTCTCTTTCTTTAGAAAAACCTGATTTGAGCTATTTTGAGCCTAGGGCTGATGCAGGCAACAGGGAAGGTATGCTGAGATTCCCACAGGAAGAACTTCCTTTCAAGTTTCTCCAGAGGTCAGGTGCTTCAGGTGGTGCAGGAGCTGGCAGAAGCTTGCCGTCTCACATCTTCCAGCCAGCTGTGCTGTTGTCACCCCCGCGGCAGAAGAGCAGTCAGGAATCGTCTCCCCTCCAGAACGGTGAGATCTCTCTGGCTGTAGTACACTTGAGAGTCTGTGTAGTGTGTTGCTGTTTCCATCTCGCGCTACCTTTGGACATTCGTTTTCTTTGGAAAATTTTTTGATTTGTATGCTTAGACACATTGGCCCTGTAGCTGGAATATCCTGCTTCTGCACCCAGGTAGGCATTTCTTTTCATTCTGTGCCTGTTGCTAGATTTCCTCAGCTTTCAGTGCCCTGCAGTTCACCATCTACTGTCTGCAGCCCTGTCAGTGGCAATCCAGACTGGCATTTTTGTTTTGTACTGGTTTTGATTGTCACTTCTGTATGATTTGCTGTAGCTCTTTGTCTATGATGTCTAGCACATCATCTCAGATTTTCATCTGCTGATGGTGTAATCCAGCCTCCACTGCCTTTAATGGTGGAACCACTGAAGCCTGGAAATTCAATGCCTCTGCAGCCCATGCTGCAGACAAACCAGGATGTCTGTAAGCTGCAGACTCTTGCTTTGAGCCAATCTTCCCAGCAGAGGTTTTTCTAAAACCTTTGGGAGCAAGTTTCCGTTGGGTTTCATTTAATACACGGGAAGTGACTGAAGAAGTTTTGGGTGAAATTATGTGGTGCCAGATGACACTCAGTCTTGTGTTCAGGAGTTTTATTGGTCAGTAGCTCAGCTCTGTTGTTGGGAGGAAGAAAGTTCATCAGGGGTGATTAGGGAAGGAATTTCTTGTTTGAACTTAATGAAGTGAGCAGAAGGGAGGACCCTTTGTAATGCTCAAAATCAGCTGTTTCCTCCTGCAACTGTCATTATAACCACATGCATCTTACTGAATGTGCTAGGCCCTGTAACTCTCTGTGGTTGAGAGGCGGATAATTATGTCTATGGCTAGCTTGATGGTTGCTGGCAGGGAGCAGGGCACAGTAGCGGGGTTTTCTGCCTTCCCTCCTCCTTTTTTTCCCACCTTTCTGCTGTGTTATTTTGTAAGTCTTTTCCAAGTCAGAAAATTAACCCAAGAATCCTTTTGATTTGAGGAGTTGGCAGTACAATTGAAAGTTTATATCTAGTTCAAGCTTTTGGTGGTCACCTATGCTGCAAGGAGGCACATAATAAATCAGGAGGAAGTGAGCTAAAGGTAGCTTTCTGCAAAGAACGACATCTGGCTTCAGTCCCATTGAGAACTATCAGATGTGTGTTGTTTGAAACAAATTTGAAACTGTTTTCCTAGACTTCACTGTAGTTTAGCTGTGTGAGAAATATGTTGTTACTCTTTTAAGACCGTGAAGGTTAATAAATGGCTCAACAAATGTTAAACTTCTTGAATGTTTCTTTATGAAAAATTATTCATAAACCAGATTTGTGTGTAAATTTTTAAATGTCATGCTTTCCTCAAGAGGCAAAAGCTAAAGCTTGGGAAGGAATGGGCTATTTCATATATAAAGCATAGAAAATCTGGTTTTGATCATAAAATCCAACTTGGACGTAACATGTAGCAGCTGATAGTGCTGTAGGATATTTTGTCATGTGTGAGTGGTGTCTTCTGTTTGCTAAAGATGACCTCAAAAAATACCTAGCTACTTGTGTTGGCCAGAGTGCTTCCCCTTTCTGTAGGGGCTGAGTATATAGCTAGCTTATTATTATGCCAAAAGTCTTATATTATTTTGTTTTACTATTGTAAAAATTTTGTTACCAACCCAGTATAAGTATCACAGCTGAAATGCAAACTTAGTTTATTAGGTAAGGTAAATGGATTTTGGAAAACAGAGGACTAACTAGGAAATTGTGTTTGATCTATCAGCTAAGAAATTCAAAACAATTTATCTTCTCTCTGACTTCTCTCTCAGTGTTAATTAAATAATTTAAATGTAAGTCTGTTTACAATAGGAAATATTAAACCTGGAGAGTTCTTGCAGCAGGGTCTTACATAGAGTGATTTTGATCAATAACACCATTCAGGCTAGATGCTACAATTCAAGTTCTTGCTTGATTATTACTAGCCTGACGCAGTAAAGTCACTATTAGTTGCCTTGATGAGGATCATGTCTCTTTCCTTACTGTTCCTTTGTTTCTTGCTTGTAGTGTTTACAGCCAGTTCTCGGTCTCCTGAAAACACCGAAAGAGAGCCGTGCAAGGAAAGGAGCTCACCTTCCTCCCTGAGAACACAGAGCATGACTGAAGAAAACTGTTTCCTCTCTCAAAGGCAACCAGCTCCTCCCGCAGACAAAGACTTGGGGAGTTCTCACGAGAAAATCAGTCTGTCCTGCTCAGGTGACACCAGAAAAAACAGCCCAGCTGAAGGGTTGTTTCAAAACGGTGATCTGCTGGGACAGATAGCTGAGCTCACACGGCAGAACTCTCTAATTAAAGCTCAACTGAGCAAATTCAGAGCCTTCTCTGAAGACACAAGTGACTGCCTGCATCAGCCAGACCCAGTACAAAATGCAAATCCTGGTCCAGACTCTTCCCAAGGACAGGTGAGAATTCAACAGAGAAGGAAGGCTGGATTCCCCTTTCTGCTGATCTGCTTTCTCGTAGCTTACTGATGCTTTAAGACTGTTTCTTCCCTGTTGTGAGTTGTTTTATGGAAAAGACTAGAAAAACAAATATTCTTTTCATTCATTTGCTTGGCGACTTGTGATTTTTATCATTCCCTAAGGAGCTCAGCAGTAGTTTCTTATATTTGGCCTATGTTGTATATGAGTGCTGAAAGGCGTGCAGCACAATTATAAATTCAGGATTAGGTTATGCTGCAAAAAGAGGTGTGATTGCAACATGATCAGGTATACCTCTTGTGGCTTGGGTAATACAACAGAGAAAGCACTGCACTGACCCACAGGTTCTTGCCAAGCTTGTGAAATACATATTTAAATCCATGCCATACAACTCTTCTGCTACTGTGACCCAAAAGCCCATGAGATTAAAGTTAGTGCAGGTACCTCTTGCAAATAGTTGATTATAGCATATGTACTACTTGGAGCTGTCTTGTCAGTCCTGCTGTGTGGTGAAAATCCCAAAATCTACGGGAGAGAGAGAACTTGAAGGCTTCAGTTCACATAGAAAACCTTTAATCTGCAACTGAGCCGCTATTCAGCGGCACCCCAGTGAGCAGAGTTAACATCACAGAAATGCCTCGCTACTGTCTTTACTTTTGTTCCGTCACAGTGGTGGAATTACTGTGCGATGAGGGATCCTAAAAATTTTGAATTTCCTCATGTAAATGTAGACAGAGAGTGTTGTCGCTTTCCACATTGTATTATGTTGTGTAATATTTAGTTATTTGGTCGTACAAGGTGATGCAAACTTTAAAGTGTTGTTTTTGTGGAAGCAGTTACTAGAGGGGGAGGGGAAGAGGTCGAAGTGGATGAAAACCTGGTTTAAAGATGAGTTCCAGGATACTACTCCTAGAAGTCTTGCTTTTGCTTCCCCACACCCTCCTGAATATGTGTGTGTCTGACTAAATATTTTCTTAATTACAGTTAATTGCTGGATGGCTGGGTTGGTTGGTTTGGGTTTTTTCACTTAAACGATACAGACAATAGCTGGTTTTTTTTCCTGTTTGTAGGAAGGCCAGTTTAAAATACTGTTGTGTTTAGTCAATTAAGGACCCAGATACAGGACAGTGAAAGGGACAAAATCAGATTTTTCACAGGAGGTGCTATATAATTATGTTTACTTTCAGTTTGAAAATTAAATGCATAGAAATACTTGAAATATATTGCATGCTGTCCTTGAAGGTGCGAATTGTAAGTGTTTAACTGGAAATAATTATCCAAGTAGACTCATCTCATGGTATCAAAGAGCTTGGAGGAAAGAATAGCAGAGCTGAATCGTCAGAGTACAGAAGCACGTGATAAACTGTTGCAGCTAATAGACCAGCAGAAATCAGCTGCTGCTGATACGGTCCCTCCAATGACATCTCCTGTTCTGCCCCCATCCCTAAATTGTACTGGTAAGTACCCAGCTTCAGGAGAAACACAAACTAGTAAGGCAACGTTTTTCCCCTTTAGAGAGTTCTTTGTCCTTATCTGATTGGAGCAGCAGTTGTGGTCAGCCGTACACTTGCTGTTAATGACTGTGTGGTACAAACTCTTTACTTCAGAGAGCTAAAAATATATCAGCTAAACTTCTCCTGAAGTTAGCTTCTTGGTAATTAGCCTGCTGTAAATATCATGGTTCACGGTACATCTGTTCTTTGCTATGTCCTTGTCTGCAGAACAGTTCTGCTCCGTGGTCGCCGGTGGGCAGAACGAGGCTTTATAATCAGTCCTCTCTGCTGGAGAACGTGCTATAACAACATGAAGTATTTACATCAGGCTTCTAAAAATCACAGCTGAGTGGTTATCCAGTTCTCAGCCACATTTTGGTTTTTGGTCTTTTGAGCGCTCTTTCCATCAGACTACCTTGCTGAGTTACTGCCAGTACTAACAGAAAGAACTAACTGGAGCTTCCAGTCACCTGAAGAGGTGAATTGGCAAAGGCGATACTGTTGCCGATTCAAGATTCATAAATTAGCTGCCATGTGTAACTGTACACAAAAATACTTTCCAGGAGCTGAGGGCTGCTTTGTCTTTTCATGGAGTCGTAATTACAGGGAGAACCGCACGTGAGCATGTACACATGCTCTGTCTAGGGCACCCGCCCTTTGCCCCTTCCACAGAGGATGTGTAAGGGGAAGGACTGGAGGGGGAGGGGAAGGAGGGGGGAGAAGAGACCACATGTGTGCATATGCATGCAGGTGCATGTGCAATGACTCACACAGTGGGCTCATAACAGTTTTGAGTCTTCTACGGCTGTTGTAGCATAAATTCAGCACGATAAGTAAAACCTTAAAGGAACAAAGTAGACAAATGAGAAGTCTCTAAGCCTCTGATTGCCAAAACCCAGAAGGTTTATTCATGGAAGAATCATTCTATATCTGTGCACGTTGTCCATAGTCACTCTATTTGCTTTCAATATCTGTCATTTTCAGAGAGTGGGTATGGGGTTGGTGTTTAGCCTGATGTTTTATGTCTGAGCTGTATGTTCTGTGTGATTGTGAAGAGTTATGTGATGCCCCTCAAAAAATGGGAAAGTGAAATGAATATTGTGCAGTGTTGCTACATTCTCATCAGAATCAACCTATTATTTATTGCCTAGAAAATGCAAGGAGGACAATTGAAGTGTCTATTCCCATGGCAATTCCTGTGGACAGCTCCAAAGAAGATAGTGTTTCCCCTGCCAGTATGACCAGCATAAGAAGGTGAAAGTTAACCCTTTACTATTTTATTTTTGTAGTGTCTTGCTTACCCATGCAGCAGAACTTGAACACAATGGAAAAATTGCCATGTTTCTGCTTGGCTTCACAGACTTTCCCTGACTTCATCACACACAACTCCATGGAAATGGGACAAAGGTCCGATAGCTTTTTCACGACTTCCATTGTTTATATTTAAAATACCTGCAGTGTCATATAAGACAGATGACATGGGCTGTTGAAGACTACTGACAAGGGGTCCTAACTCAGGATCTGAGACATGATTCTAGTACTCACTTCCTTTTTTCATGTTTTCAATCTCATTTTGAATGTCTACAGGTCTGTAGGAGACTCTAGCAAACCTTGTTCGCCCCTAAGTGCCACATCTGAAAGTGTGAAATTAACTCCGGTCAGCCAAAGGCCAAAGGTAACACTGAAAAACCTTCAGCCAGAAAGTTTGATTGTGGTGTCATATAAGGAAGAAGCAAGACAGATAGAGAAGGGGAGAGAGCTCTGTCTTATCCTAAATCTAGAGAGGCTAATAGTAATTGATTCGTGGCGGTTTGGATGCTGAACAGTTGGTAAGGGGAGACTGGAGTGCTAGTGACATTAGTTGTTTGCTGCCACAGAGCTGTTATTTACAAGCAAATAATCTGTAACTACATTTTCTGCTGTGACATCTTCATGGGAACCTCTTGCGGTTTTTCCCTGGTGGCTCCAGAGAATTTCGAGTAATCATTATGATCTACTAAGAGCAGACTACAGCAAGATGCTTTCTCGGGGAACTCCAGGCAGTAATACAGTCTGGTAGTCCTAGATCTGTTTATATGCTTGAAGGCAACCACGGGGAGATATTAATACTGTCTTTCCTGATGTCCAAAATAACCCGAATTAGGAGGGATAAGGAGAAACAAAGTTAGGATCCAAGACTTCGTATCCTGACAGTGAAGTATACATCACCAGAGGGGAAATTTGGAATACTTAAGGTAGATGTGGCTTAAACTAGGTGTCTAAATTGGGTGGTATCCCTCCCTCCACGGTGCCGATGGCAGGCAATTGCGATGTGTCAGTGAACTGACAGCAATCCTGCATAAGCCAGCACTAACTAGCAAGTCTGTGGGAAATTTATGATGTATGAATTTCAACTGGCTTCTCCTTTTGCAGGTGGAAAAGCAAAAAGAAGGCGGCTGGTTCGCATTGTCAATGCACGTTATGTAAAGGAAACTGTGCTCAAGTCCTATATTTTTTTAATTAATTTTTTTGAACCACAACTAGATCACAATAATCCCCCCCCTCCAGATGTACAGTTTAACTCTGAAGTGCCATTAGTATAAAAAGATCCCTATGTTTATTGTATTTGTACCAAACAGAGCACTATAGGAAGTCCTGGGAATGAGTTTCTGAACTGGAGACACTGCTGTGATATTATGCCTTTCCGTTGAATAAATCTTTCACAAAATTGTAAACTCAGGCTGCTGTAGCAATATGAGTGTGCGTCTGATATCTGTGTCAGACACGCTGAAAACTGGAGGTTTTGGAAATTGCATGTGAAACTTTCTGGAGCATGTGTTTGCACAAGATACGGGAATGAAATATCAAGAAAAACTGAGATGAGGGAATGTACCTCTGTTCAAAAGCAGCCTGGAGATTAGGAAGCCAGCCTGTTCCTGCTGGATAAGAATTTGCATCAGAAATAATTTGTTCCTTCCGTAGTTTAGTTGCTCCCGAAAGTTGTGTTTTCTGCGCAGTTAACATATCGGGGATTACATCTGGACTTGAGGATTGCCTTTTAAAAATTCCATGTAGTATTTTTATAGTAAATATAAAGTGACTTTGAAGTTGAAGTCAGAATCTCTGTGTACTAAGGTGTGCTCTCTGATAAAACAGAAAACCGTGATATGAGTGCAATTGTATTAAGCTGTTTTGTTATGTGTGTATATAATACTTTAATGACCATGGTTTTATATTTGTTTTATTTGACTTTTTCAAGTAGCCATCATTTTATTATTAACAGTAGAATCTGGGACTGTGCAGAAATGCATATATATCTGTTCCTTACATTGTAGTAAACCTGGGCGAAACGCTTTATAATGGAGATAAAAAATCAGAAAAAAAAAACCAACCTGCAAGTGTGGGGAAGAAAATATCTGCAAGTCTAAAAACCAGATTTTCAGTGAAGTTGTTTTAGCATTTTTCTTTTTTTAACTGCTAAATTCACCCCTAAAGATACTGATGGGGTGAGGCATTAAAAGGGGCCAGCCCATATGCTTTCAATCAGTTCAGTTTTAGGAGAATGAAGAAAAGATACTTCTCTTTCTTCTTTTCCTTTTTTTTCCCCCCCTTGTTTTAGAGTGGAAGGTTTCTTTTAAACAGATTTAGAAAATATAAAAAATATGGGATTCCAAAGAGGACCCATTCAAATATTCATTGACACTTGGGCAATCTATTTTTCCAGTGTTAACTTTGGGAAGTGAGGAAGGCTCATAGTCCTCTGTTTTATGAAATAATAGTTAAAATTGCTCAGGCAGAGGCAGGAACATCAAGGTTGGGATGGACTACGTAACCGTAGTGCCCACACATTCATACTGTTGCTTCTGACTTCTTCCAAGGTGATGGTGGCTACAAATGCTCTGTAATGGTTTAGTCTGAGATTTCCTTTTGGAATACAGGATTAGAATTAATCGTTTGAGTCATCAGCTGGTTCCCTTCAGGTGGAAGCTGCTGTATCAAATAACTGTAAGTTGAGTCATCTGGCTGTGTTCCAGTCTAAAAACACTCAGTGAGGTGAGCAATACTGCTGGTTTTCCTTCGCATCATTAGTGAAGTCTTGAGATCAGTAGAACTCGGGCTCAGAAGGGCTGCAGGTCTGACTTCAGGGTCGGAACTAGTGACCCCATAAAACTGCTGCCCTGTAAAAGAGCGTCAGTGACGCAGAGCGCCCAGAGCGTGGCCATCTGAAGCAGGAGGGCCATGCAGAGCTCCAGCCCGGCTCCCAGAAGCCACGTAGCCACGTTAGCAGAGCAGCGCGTTCAAACCCGGAACTCTTTTCTCTCGGCACAGCTGACTGTCCCAGGTGCCACCTTGCACTTGACGTGGCTGGTCTGGTGCCAGAGCGCGCTTCCAGCACGGGCGAAGTGCTCTGTGCTCCTCTTAGGAGGCAGGAACGTGTTACTGGGTGTCTCGAGCCACCCTCCCACCAGCTCCTCCCCAGCCTTGGACTGGGGGTGGGCAGCCTCCTGCGGCACCGGCTGGGGTCACACGGTGTTTCATGGCTAAAAAGGAGCTGCAGCTGAGGTGTAGCAGCAGTGTGTTCGCTGGGGCTCCGCCGGCCAGTATAAAGCTGAAGGCTGTTGCTGAGAAACTGTGTTACTGACTGCTTAGGGTTTGGGGTTTTTTTGCTTGTTTTTGACCGAGCAACAAACTACAGCTGTTGCCAGCAGTAACACATCTGGCTTTTCATATCAGATGAAGGACAGCGTTCTAGGGCTTCATTTGATCTTTATTCTTCTGTTGCGTTAAATCATAAAAAGGCTGGTATCCAGTCCCAGTGCTTTACCGGTGCAGTGTGTTTTATTGCCAACGACTTTCTGATTTTGCAAGATAAACGTTTTACTGCCTTGCTTCCTTTTTTTCCGGGCCTTTCATGTTCTTCCTTTTTGTCTTAAATGTCAGCAGAAGGACATTTGGCCACAGACCA